AAAATGATATAGATTATGCATCATAATAAACAGAGATACAAAAGAGCCTTTGGGCATAGAACATTGCTAACGAAGGTATAGTTTGCCTATCGAAAGAAATCCCCTCGCTACGTAGTCTAAGGCCGTCTGCTGCTATGGAAACAAGAAATGGCACATTTCAAAGAGAGGAGCTTCATTCTTCCCCGATTCCCCTTCCTCGTCGACCTGAGTCAAAACCTGTCTTAAATAATGACCCAACTTGAAATAGTTGAATCTCGTAACCATAGTCACCGACTCCTCTCCAGACGAATGGCTAGGGGAGTTCTTTACATCGACAAACTATAGCTGGAAGAACGCTCTGCATCAACAAATCAACTACTGACTGCAACCAATAAATATAGTCTGAGGTTAATTATTGGCTGTGGCTTAAACTAATAGTTATGGCGAGTCTTTAATTCGATAGTCGTTTGAAATTCTTTCCCACTATCCAAGATATATAATGGAACTTATCATACTTTTATTATTTTTTTAGAGTCAAATCCTACTCTAAATTGTCCATATCCTCACAACTCTACGTGAAGCTAAAAAACGGGAGATTTCTTCTAACTACAGTCTGCAGATTTTTGGTTAATTGTGCCAACTTTTTAAGGCGCTCAACACGGCTTTACCTGCAACATAGGGGCCTATCATATAAGCCACAGAAGACAAATAGAATGGAACTTATGATACTTTCATTATTTTTTTAGAGTCAAATCCTACTCTACATTGGCCATAATGATATCCTCACAACTCTACATGAAGCTAAAAAACGGGAGATTTCTTCTAACTACAGTCTGCAGATTTTTGGTTAATTGTGCCAACTTTTTAAGGCGCTCAACACGGCTTACCTGCAACAAAAGGGCCTATCATATAAGCTACAGAAGACAAATAGAATGGAACTTATGATACTTTTATAATTTTTTTTAGAGTTAAGAGCTCGGCATTAAATAGCTGGCCCAATTCTGAGTTTACGACTATCAATTTTCACAACATCGTGGCAAGGGGATTCGAATCCATTATCCGTCTACCCCTGAGGATATTTTACTTCAGCTCAGTGGTCTGTGAGAGCCGGGAGCAGAACTCGTATCAACTAGCTGCAGCTGGGATTCGAAATTTAATCATCTCATTGGGAGGTGAACGTTCTATCCCCTTAGCCACCGCGGATTTTCCTGCTCATATTAAACTGTCAACTTTTTACGCTTTTTGAGAAATTTTCCACTAGTTGTAGCTAAGTTTATATTCTACTGTATGATTCTTTATTTTGTAAATTCGATTAGAAGTTCTTTTCTACACCACTACATGTAAATGACCCAAAAGTTTATATGAACCGCTACTTTGCTCCAGCTCCCTGGTCGAGCGGTATCACCCTCCAAGCACTGTGCAAAGCGTAGAGGTAGTGAGTTCGAATCCCGCTACTACCCTTTAAGTACCTTTGTGCTGTCCATCTCTGTATTGTGCCATCTGTCTTTCCATTTGACAAAAGTTTATAAGCCTAAATTGAGCGCACAAATGTATATAATTCCAAAGAACCAATCCGAATCTTTTGGGGTAAAGTTTTCAAAAGCTTTAGTTTTTAATTGTCTAGAACTCTCATAAAACATTTTTTTTCAAAAAGCGTAGTTGTTTGGCAATCTGCTAGTCCCTAATTTTTATTTTTTTAATAGATTTTCATTCTTTTTATTTGTAACCTTTTGTTACAGTTTTTAGCGTGAGTGCCATTCCTATTGTTCAATTCTACTTCTAGGATAAATATTTTCTGAACCTACGGAGGTTTTGCAGTAGCTAGAAGGCATGTCTAAACTAATTGAACATAATTTACCTAATAATAACATAACATACCTAAGGAGTCAAACGTTGCTCTAAGATCATTTTTGTCAATAAGACCATCTTTATTAGAATCAATCATCTGGAAAGCCTGAAATTTAAGTTTAAAAATAATGATTTTTTTTTTTGGAATATTAAATTTAAAAGCATAATTTTTATAATTAAATACTAATAAATGTTAGTTTCAAATTAATGTTAAGAGAATTAGGTGATTAACTTAAAGAGTCCATTACCTCTTTGAACTCGGCTATTTGATTTTGTTCGAACATAGCAAAGACATTGGATGTTGCTCGTCTTGCAGTCTTTTTTTGGGAATCACTCTTCGCCTTTTTTGACTGTAATGAAACATTTCTAATAAATTACACATTTCGATGTAATATTACATTCATTCAAAAATAGGTGACTTTCAAAAAAAGTTGTAATGGATAGAAGTTTAAACCAGGTTTACCATGATCTGGAGAAAAAAAAGTAGCTAAGTTTTCTCAAAGTTACAGAAATAAGTAGACATGTAGCTTCTGCCTGAAAACTACGAGCAATTTCAAGTTTTTCTTTTACATCCTTCTTCTTTCTTCTTAT